ATCCAACCTATCACACCTCCAGCCCAGGCCTATATATGTTGTTTTGTCTCTCTCTTCTCCCTTATCCATCTTTTCGCTGTCCACCGCAGAGGCCCCGGTTCACTGACTCCCACTTCTCCCTGTGGGGCGAGTGCATGGAGCATGTCTGCACTGAGACCCGGGCTTCCTCACTCACCCCACGCTCTGTCCATAATGCACAGGGCCTTGGCAGCTACAGCAATGGGTCCCCCCGCCCCGGGTGTGTTTGGCTGGCGTCCAACAGGTCGGTGCCGGCCCTCGACTCTTACCCCATCCATGTCCCTTGCTGCATATGTGGCTAATATTCCTCCTTTTTTGGCTTTTTTGGTCCCCCCCCACTGCTGCAGCTGTACCGGTAAATGTCATTTCAAACATCTACAGTTATTTACAGTATTCAAATGAAAGGAAGCAAATACTCAGTTTTCAATAACAACCCATAGAAGAGAGATATGTTTTCACAGCTAAACCTGTTCAGAGACTCAAGTTTAATTTCACAACTAGGCAATGCATTGGGCAGCTGGAGAATAGATGCATTTCTACTACATCAACTTAAAAATAAAAACATTTTTATAAAAAATAAAAACATTTTGCAAGTGCTATATTACAGTATATTAGTATCATGTACTGCAAAATATACACAGACACTTTTCATCTGGCTGCTCTTTAACTTCAAATGTACAGCTTAGTGTAATGTCACACTGTTTTCATGTGCATTATTTCCAAGGCTATAAATAATGCTCTTTAGGAGCCACTGTGAGATACCATCTCCACTGTATGCTTTTATTCTTTTCAAATCCAATCTGCCTGTTAATTTCCACAGATTCAACTTTAAACAGCATTCAGGCAGCATCATACTATGCATAACATATGGCCCTGAATTCTTAATTCAAAGATTAACTTTTGCTTAAAAATAAAAGACAAGATAAACAGTGCACCCCTCTATTTTTAAGAAGTCTTTCATCGTAACATTAAAAGAAGATGTATCAATGGTTTCATAATTTTCCTTGTTCATTCTCACATATCACACAAACCAACCTTCTTAGCCACAGGCTATAGGGCACAGACTTGGTTATGAGTTGTTACATGCATGCTGCAGATGGGTTGTTAAGCCTATTAGATTGGAACTTCGTTTCTTTATTAAAATAAACCCATATGCTTTATTAAAAGGTCTACGGACAAATGCTGAAGATATGGTAGTTAATGGTAATAATGGTATTTCAAAAGCCTTTCTACAGACTAATGGGCCGTGCTACTAATTCTGGACATATCACTACAGGCTCAACATTGACACCAAGTTCAAAGACAACTACGTGACCATACACACTGCCCTTACAAGAAACAGTTGCACCATCAACAAAATCCACTTAATATTTTCCTTCAGCTGAAGATGGTTCCACTGCTTTTTTAAACATTCACTTCTGTAAAATAAATCTGGTTTTGCCAATAACACATCAAGTCACCATGGCATGTAAGGTATGTTGTCTACTGAAGATAATTTAAACAAAATGTGGAAAATCTAGATCAGTGGAATGAGTCCCTAATAATGAAAGTAAAAACTGCACTAATAAAATGTAAAAATATGAAGAAACAGATGCCATGTAACAGGCACCAAACCCTCTAGTTACTAATAACCACTAAACAAACTAAGGAGAAATAAAGTTCCCTTTAAAGCATGTTTCCGTGAGCATCATTCATTATTATTATTTTCAATTTAGAGAGCACAAACAAAGAACCATGACCCTGCCCTGGAATAAGCTGCTTTCTGATAAAGAATGGATGTAAGCAAAAGAAAAAATGACAACTAAATATTATTTAAATCATTCTATGGCAAATAAATAACCCACAGAGACACCTCTCTCAGATTTTAATGAAATACTGCAGTACCAGAACATAAGCAGAATTACAAACTAGAGGCCATTCTGCTCATCGAGTTGATGTGGTCGTTGGTAGCTAATTCATCCCAATCTCTCATCCAGCCATGTCTTGAAAGGGTATCAGCTGCAACATGGCTATGTGGCCAGGTTATAAATTAAAAGGACAAAGATTTTATTTTAGGGCACACTTAATTTTTTTTAAACGGCTAAATCTCAGTATCAGTTTCAGCAAGAGAGGGGTTCCCCCCCTCCCCCAAACACGTTTCTAAATAAAGTGAGTTCATCACTTTTATTTTGGCATGACTTAAAACGAATGAGTTTTTATCAATGACCTTTTGACCCTTGGAAAACCACAATATAAACAGCTGGAGAAACATCAAAGCAAGATTAACATATAAACACTTTTTAAAAAGGTTTCTTAATTTTCCCTTCAGACAATGAACTGGATTCTTGTATTTCTGGAATTTCTTGTTATTACCATGATGTTCACTTGCAACCACCACCAAAAACGTCAATAAGTAGAAATCCACCACCTGAAACTGGAAATATTCCCCCAAAAAACTGCAACAACTAAGTCTGTAAGCCGTTTATAAAGTTTAAAACCCCATTTGCATTACAATTCCGTTTATTTCCTTCATTGACTGCTTCAGCTTCATTAAACAATTTTAGGACACAGTGAACAAATTGACACCTTAATTTGATAATTTTATAATGTATTTTTATTTCATGTATTGCTTGGGAATACATTTCTAATTATTCCATATTCACCTCGTAAGTATTAGCCATGTTGAATAACCTATTTTATCCACATTTGCCTGATACTGTATCCTTTTGGCAGAACCACAGGGCATATTAGGAGTCTACATTTCACAAAGCACATTATCAGATGAAACATTTCTAAGGCCAGTGATATTCCAGTCCAGTGCATTAACCGGTGCAAGACAATCAAACAAAATCGTCTGACTTTTCCACCAAGTCCGCAAAGTGGTTTATTAAAAGGACAGGTTGGTGTCTTGGCTTGTCGCATAATGACCCACTTTCAGTGCAATAATGTTCCTCTTTGGGTACGATTGCTTGATACTTTAATTGTGTTGCAAAGAATATCCAGAAACACAAGAATCCAGTTCATGTTCTGCAAGAGCTAAACTCATTAAGGTGAGTGGTTTTTTCAACAAAGTAGTCTGGATCTCTTCCAGACTACATTAATTACTTAATTGCATTCAGTCCATGATACACTCAGGCAAAATTTCTGCCTATCAGTTATTTGCTAGAACAGGCCCATTGTTTGCAAAATAGTGAGAGTTAGGCTACCTACTGTTTTAAATAAAACCCTGAAATCAGAACTATCACTGAGAAGACTACGTTAAACAGGCCAGGTCAAACACAGAAAACAGCAATCCAAAGTACATAAAGATCTAGCTTTTAAAAGAAACAAACCAGAAATGAATATATATTTATGACTACAACAACACCAATAAGGTATTTGAGGATACCCCTGGAATATGGGTTATAGCCAGTGCTTTAGTTTGTACTTTGCTATCGGATCATGTAATAAAAGCATAAATAAATGTAAATAACTGCGTTGGGCAGACTGTCGCTTCTACAGGAGTTAATTACCCCTATTTAGGTACTGCACTGGGGCATAAACTCCCTTCTTGCAACAGCCTGTGCAGTCAATGTACAAACGTGTGCTGTACTTTCTTATCATAGCATTTTCACAGTTTTAAAAAAAATCTTAAGGAAAACCAAACCGAAACACGGTCATTTGCATTCCAGAGGGCCAGTCTCATTTCACACAGCACAGCTACCTGACGTTCCCATTGTTAAACACACACCTTTGTTTGGCACTGCGCATGCCAACTCAATGATACGGATCTTTAATAGTTTCCTCTCGGCGTCCAACATTTCTGCCGGAGTTTGTCCTGAATTGTGTGAGGTCTCCTAAGAACACAGCAACACCAACACAACGTGACACAAACCGCACAACCACAGTTCGCCTGTTAGAAAAATCTGAGCGGCAGCCCACACTGACACAGGGCAACCCATATGGCGTTTTTACTTGTCGTAAATACGGCAAAAGACCATTTCTGCTTCACGTTTATAGCGACCCCAAAAGAGACGCTGTTTTTTGTTTTTTACCCCCGGCGGATTTCTGAATGCAAATTAATACTTAAATCCACACTCGCTTTTCTTGCCTTGCCTGCTCCCAGACGGGATGCTCGTTTTTCTCGTATCACCACCTCTTTAGTTCACCAAGGTAATCCACCCCCCGGGGACGGGGGGGTGACCATCCACTGCCACCCCTTTCCATTCACGCACTGTCATCGCCGCTCTGTGTTTCTGCACGGGTAGGGGACTCAAAGGGGGAGGCAGCAGGGAAGAATACCGTTTAAAAAAAAACCTCTTCCCTGTTCGCGAAATCAACGCAAGCACGGCAGACATCGCCACCGAGAGCACCGATCCTAATACTTTATTCGCACGTATCTGATTTTTACTGACACGGGCTACCTGGCCCTCGGTCTCCCGGCCGACAAGGCAACAAAAGAATATGAAATGGACCCCCTGCGTCTTCTTGTTCATGCCAGTAACATTCACCCCGCAGACCGGCGCAAAAACACGGAAGGAAATATTACTCAGCTGCCCTATTCCAAGATTGCAGCGTCTGTGAATAAAGACAACAACTTTTTTTTTTTAGCCCGCTTTTAAACATTTCCCAGGATACTGGTTACTGAAAACCACTCGCTTCCGAACCGACTGGACATTTATTAAAAAAAAAAAAGACGCGCAACCCCTTATCACTTTGCACCATTTACCTCTCTGACTCTCTTCTCGGATAGTCCATGCATTTTTAATAGCTAGTTCTCTCTTTCTCTCAGCAACCCGATGCCTTTCGGCCTTTTGACTGTCTCCACACACACACAATCTTTAAGACCAAATATAACACTGTCCTAGCGCAAGCCATTCCTTGTTTGTCTTTTAAAAAGATCCCATGAAAAGCGGCTACGATGCACTGCAACATTTTGTAACTCCCTGGTAATAACACAACACATGCATGACGTGTGCCAAACATGACAGCCCCGTTTTTAACACTGGCGAAATTCAACTCACCCAACGCCACCTCGCAGGCTTTACGCAGCTGAGAGTGGTGAGCCTTCTTCACCTCCTTGTCGGCTAAAATCTTCTCCAGAGCCCGGGTTAAAAACATGTTTTTCGTCTTTTTCCCTTCATACATGACGCGCTGGACGGGAGCTTGGGCGAGGAGTATGATCACAGTCCCAGCGGGGGAAGGAGTCCTCTCTCCCTTACCTACCGCTCCTCGGAAGAAAGAAAGCGCTGCCGATCTGCGCCCTCCCCAGAAAAAAATATATAAAAGAGAGCATGCATAAATACGGAAGGTGCGATAGATTTACACGGAAATCCCTCGGTTTTCCACTAGCAACCTGCCAGCGCCATGTTGGAAGGAAGCGACGTCACGCACGTCAAAAAACGGCCGCAATGAGGCAGAGTGAGTCAGGCTGGCAGGAGCTGGGAGGGTCGGCGGAGAGGCGCTGCGCAGATCCGTACTTCCTTGTTCGCTCACTGCGTGTTGGAGTGGGCGCAGGTTCAGGTGGCTAGCGTGGCTGTCACTGCACGAAGTGAGGTTGTCGTGGTTTTTTTTTTTTTTGGGGGGGGGTTTAGTGACTCGTGCAAAACTAACCAGGGAAGGGACTGTCTGCTACAGTTGCAGCCAGCCGCCGCCACCGCCGTGCGGTCCCGCCGTCTCTCTGCGGTGCTGCATCTGCAGTACAGCTGCGGACAGGAGAGGAGAGCTGGGCAGGTCGTTTTGAGTGTGACCAGCGACGAAAAAGGGCTCACCTGTCGGTCAAGGGCACGGACAGTATACCGCAGAATCAAACTGAACTTCCTTTTGTGACAAGCCTCAATGTAGAGGGGATATATGATGAATTAGCACGCCTGAAGACCCCCGATTTCCTCGAAAAACAAGGTTCCTATTTCACAGAGTACAGTAGTATCTAAGCTATGTTCAGCAGATGGTTTTGTTTTACAATGACCAGGCCTGGCAGGAAGGGGTCAAATTAACAATGCCCGGAGACAAAGGGTGTTCTTTATCTGCAGTAGTAATGATAATAAATAACCTTGCATTTATGTGAAAATGTGTATATGTATATGAATTGCTGTAGTTATAGGAGGGGATGCATATCATTCACCACAGAGGTGCAGCTCTCACCTGGGTGACAAGCAGCAGCCATTATGCACTGGCAACCCTGCTACACAGCAGGTGGAGAAGTGAGAAACTGCTTCATAAATTGTTTTCCATTGATTACGCAATTCCTGGGATTTTGGACACAGGACTAACCCCTATAACTCCTATACAGAGTCACCAATGCTATCTTTGCTGAGATAAGTAGTCCAGTATAAGCCTGGACATCCCGTTTTTGTATGCAACCTGTCATTAGTGCTAACAACGCTTCTCTTTCAAGAAAACACGATCACACCATGCCTGGTTTGTCTAACCTTAGTGAATTGATCAGTATTTTAGCAGATTCCTTTCACAGGTCGTAAGTGACCAATGAGTCAGCAGAGGGAGGTGGCCTGGCTGAGTTGAGGCTAAAAAAGAGTATTTACAGTAGTTCCCTGTGATTATTTTAAGATTGTGGCTCATAACTATAAGTTAACCCTAGGGTAATGAAGTTAATCACAAGAGGCGTCTTTCCAAGCTTCAGCATCAATAAGGTAAAACATATACAATGGTTACATCAATATGTAGTAAATTAAGATGAAATATCCCCAGATGTTTTCTTAACTGTGTACTGTACTAACAGATGAGTTGCTTCTAGTTGCTTATATAAGTCAGCTTTATATATATATAATATTGAGATACTGTACCCTGGGTAAGACTATAGCTTTTGAATCACTGCTTTCCTAAGGGAAGAACATCTTGCCTGTTAAATGATCAGGCATTATAAACTGAGAAATCCCGTGTTTATTTAGTTTGTGCTGGTAGCTGGGCATTGGATAAGAGATTTATGCTGAACATATGCAGGCTACTTGAGTTTTTTAAAGCTCCAATCAAATGATCAGCAGGCTGCTCAATTGGTCAGAATGGATACACAATTTTATCATGAAGACATACATTTTAATATGAATGGACGGTGCGTTGGCTCTGTGGCTGAGGATCTGTGCCTGTGGCTGGAAGGTTGCTGGTTCAAATCCTGCAGCTGGCAGAGGAATCCTACTCTGTTGGACCCCTGAGCAAGACCCTTAACCCCAACTGCTCCAGGGGCGCTGTATAAATGGTTGACCCTGTGCTCTGACCCCAAGCTTCTCTCCCTGTTTGTGTGTCTCATGGAGAGCAAGTTGGGGTATACAAAAAGACAAATTCCCCATATGAGAAATTTTATTTGGCCAATAATGTGATCTTATATCAGGAGAACAATGGCATGCTAGAGACTACATCTGTCCAATTGCTTTTTGGGGTGTTCACAGCTAGCAATTTTAACCTGGCATGAGGTTACTGCCAAATACAGCTCTTTAATGAGTGGCCACAATGTGTGAGACTAGGAGCCATGGCACCTTGCCAAGATCAGTGGAGATGTCCAAGTATAATGGTCATTCTCAGCACTTCTGGGCTGGACTGTCTGGTCACTACACAACACTTGCAGTGATTGATGGCAGCTTGACTGTATTACGCCACAATAATCACATTCTGGGACCTCCTTCTGCTCTGACCACATTGCAGTAGGACCACAATACCTCGCACAGCTCCTGTAACACCATTTTTTGAGTCGAGTGTGTGAGAGCTGTGCTATGGCTGTGGTAGGTGCTATGATTCGCAGCCATATCACCCTGCAACTCACAACTGGCAGCCCGCTGAAGCTCAGCCAGTTTGAGCCTGGCCAGTACCTGGATGGGAGACCTCCTGGGAAAAACTAAGGTTGCTGCTGGAAGAGGTGTTAGTTGGGCCAGCAGGGGGTGCTCACCCTACGGTCCATGTGGGTCCTAATGCCCCAGTATAGTGACAGGGACACTATACTGTAAACAGGTGCCGTCCTTTGGATGAGACGTAAAACTGAGGTCCTGACTCTCTGTGATCATTAAAAATCCCAGGCTGTTTCTCAAAAAGAGTAGGGGTATAACCCTGACATCCTGGCAAAAATTTTCCATTGGCCCTTATCAACCATGGCCTCCTAATAAACCATCTATGAATTGGCTTCATTACTCTGTTCTCTTCCCAACTGACAACTGGTGTGTGGTGAGCGTTCTGGTGCACTATGGTTGCCGTTGCATCATCAAGGTGGATGCTGCACGTTGGTGGTGGTGGGGAGGAGTCCCCATTACCTGTAAAGCACTTTGAGTGGAGTGTCCAGAAAAGCGCTATATAAGTGTAAGCAATTATTATTATTATTATTATTATGGTTGCCCTACTCACCAGGCTTGAACATCCTTTGAGGTGAGCTGGCATGATGTGTGGCATGTAGGGCTCAGAGACCTGTCTGCCCCAGGCCTGTGAGAGGGAAGTAACTGAAACCCAAACAGCACCATCTGCAATATGATGCAAAGCACAATTCCCAAATGTACAGATTGTACTGCTTCAGATGGTGGCCTGGCAGCATACTGCCTGCTCATAGCTTTCACACTTGGCACTGTGCAAATGGGAAAAGTTAATCTGCGTAATGAATTTAACTATTGCTGGGAGTCATTTTCCTGATAATTGCTTAGACTGCTTTCAGTATTTAACAGTCCCACTGAAAATCAAGCAGAGATTGAACGTACAGATTTAAATCCCTTGATGGTATTCTAATACTTTATTTAGGTGATATACAAGATTTGAACCTTTGTGGAAAATATTTGAACTGCCTTATTTTCAAAGAACCAAGCTTTTAACTCTGTAGCTTGGCTAGTTTGGCTCAGTTTGTGATTTCACTTCTTTATACAGCCAGATTTTTCTTATTTTCTTTGTTTAGTATATTGGCAATATATTGTTGTAGATATTGCATTTTTTATTTTTATTTTCATTTTACCTAGCAGGACAGGACAAGCTTTATACTTGTGGCAGTAAAAGTAATACTGGTCAGCTCTTTCTATATCACTAACACAACCTGCTTATTAAATGTGTTTTTTCCTGATCTCCGGACCATGAAATTGGTTAACTTCGTCAAAGTATGAATTTAGTATGAATTTATTGTGTGAGATTTAATAGTTTCTGGCCCCATCATAAAATGAAAAAAAAAATACTGTAAGAGATTTATGAACTGGAAATAAATATATCTTTATCAGTGGCTCAAGTGACTTGCCAGGAGTACAAAGTGCAAAACATTTATTAAGCATGATCACTGATATACAAGAAAACCTCTTCTGATGTTAGGAAATTATAAATACTGATATACGTATTGCTGTTGATGCAGGGCTGAATCCTAAAGGTTTAACTGTTCAATACTCTGTCAGAATGAGAAATGTTAAAAACGAGGACAAGAGTACAAGGATTTCTATAGAAAATATTTTATGTTAAGATAAGGTAATTGCCTATACATCAAATGGCTGTTTTGCAGAAGGCTTTGTTAGTGAAAGTCATCATTTCTGTTCTGGGCATTGTTCATGCAGGGCTAGACAGGTCTTCAGTAGAGAGGTGAGATATGCAGAGTCTATTTGGTGAGCCTGCCCAGATCCCCGCTCACTATGGTGAGGACTGAGCCAGGAAGTTGCTGATGGGGTGGTGGAAGGAGTACCAGAGAGATGTCCTAACTGGGAGTCCTGGGTGCGAGAATTCTATACGTAGGAAGCGGAAATGTGTGAGATTAGGATCTAACCTTCCTCACAATTTTCTGTTGTAATTTCTGTTATAATTCTGTTTATGTGCAAGAAATTTACAGAGAGTGCTGAAGGCTCTTTTGACAACTATATCAATGTGCAAACACCAAGACGCGTGTGTGGAAAGATGAACGTCTTGGAAGGCAAAATGCCACGCAGCGAGCCTTTTCAAGATGGAACAGCACGGTGGACTAACAGGATCCCCAGTCGAGTTCCTTAAGTCAGGTCTGTTAACTGAACTAAAAAAACATCTGTGAAGCTCAGATCAGCTGCAAAAGTGCTCGTGAACTGGTTTGGAAGATGGAATTTCATGTCCAACTCTGGAACTGAAGGATCTGTACAGTATGTAGTCATTTTGAGGGTACAAATTCTGTATATCCTGTATCCTGTTTTTTGTTGCTACAGTAGAAGGAAAATGGTAAAATTCTTTCAAATAAGGATTTATTGGACCAGTTTAACCGTTCCCTACAAGTCTTAAGTTGATGAGGATTTTAGGAAAACTACAGTATAAAACCTGCTGGATCACTTCCTTAATTTAGTTTTTACTCCACTTGATACATACAGCACAAAAATATTTCATATGCCATATTTACCAAAGACTGACTGTGGGACAGGGACAATTCTCATGCAGGTACTATTCAAGTCAAAAAAGAAAAGATGAATTTCACCTTAGAATAGTTTTTCTTCCTGACAGCACTTAGAGATAAACTTCAGTGTCAGGAGGTTATTAATCAACAAAACATCCTCAGTTTAAATGTTGCTAACCGCTTTCATTAAAAATATATGTACAGTAAGTATATCCTGGGTATGTTAAAAAATTACTAGGACTCTTCTTATTTATCC